GCGACCTGCACACAGCAGGGGGTTGGAGCTGGATGAGCATTGTGCTCCTTTGCAACCCAGGCCATTCTGTGATTCTATGATTGCCCTGCTCTCAGCCCCTGGGACCTTCTCACAGATAGCCCAGGACTGAGGCCGCAGCATCACAGAACACTTTCACATGCTCTTCATGTGCAGGTAAGAGATCACATTCCAGAGAAGCTTTCTTCTGTGCTGGAATTGTCCTGTCATTTCCCACCCAATACCACCAGATCCATTTCCTCTCCTGGTATTTCCTATCTCTAGCTCCTAACTCCATTCAGTGAAAAATATGTATATATATTTGTTGGTTTCTTTTTCCTCCCTTATTTCCACAACACACACGCACACACCACAGCCCCCAAGGAGAATATTTTCTACTGGATAGAAACTGAACTGCAAGACAGAAGCCTGGGATTCTACTCCTGAGTAAAGCACTAATCTTGGGCAAGTCTGACTCTTCTCTCACACTTGTGTATTTTTGTTTCTAATCTACATGGACTATATATTACCATTAAAAAAAAAGTTTTCATTCTGAGCCCTTTGTCAGCAGGGAGAGAAAAATATTTCCTTAAGATATCTGCTAAGATAAGAATTGCTCTCCACAAGTTCTTTTGTGTCCTCTGGTTTTAGAGGGAACTGATGGTTGGTTTACACTAAAACCTAAAGGCAGGTGGGGTGAGCAGTGTCCTTCTCACGTATTTTTAATTGCACTTGTCTCAATGGGAGTTCCTCTTTCAGTTGAAACCTCTGTCTGCTGCTGGTGCACAGTAACAAATGCAAAATTCTTTGTGCTCAGCAACATGTTACTGCAACTTGTGGAAGCTGTTGTACACTGGAAGGTCTTGTTCCTGCCTGCAGGTCATTTCTTCACTGCTTTCACTAAGTAAGCTATTAAGGTGAATGTGTATTAGGGCTCTCCTGTGGAAAACTATTTCAAAATGCATATTTCTGCTTCCTCTCTCTCAACCCATGGGTAAGCTCCAGCATTCAGAGGTTCTGGAAATGTCAAAACATTTTCTGGTGTCAGCTTCAGAGTGTGGTAGGTGGACTGAAAGTTGAAGTGTTCTCATGAGAGATCCCATTTTACCAAGGGGAAAGGTTGGTAGCTCGTTGCAATAGATTTCACAGCTGTTGTTATTCAGCTGCTTCCCACAGTCATCTCAGTCCTTCGAGCCTACAGCAAAACATCAGAAAATGCTTCCCTTTTTTTTTCTTTCTTTTTTTTCCCCCTATTTAAAGACACTTGAGGACCTGCTTCCTTGGGTAACTCTAATCTGTTCACTTCCAACACAGCATCCGAATCCACTGCAAGAAGCTGTACTGCACAACAGACTTCTTGGATATTTATTTTTCATCACTGTGCTTCTGTTATCTGATGACTTTTTATGGATACCAAAGCGAGGAGCTGAGAAGCAAGTGACTTCTAGATTAGCTGAGAAATGACATCACAGAAGAAGCTAAGAGGCCCATGGGAGAAGGACAAGTATGTGTAGGAAACCAGCAGAGAGAATGGTGAGGGTGATGCACCAGATAAAGGCAAGGGAGGGAGGGGGAGACAATCTTTGAAATAACTTGACAGTAAAGATGGGATGTTCAGAAATGTGAGGGAAGGATGCTTCAGAAGAAGAACTCATTAATATTGTCACGGGGAGGTGGTAATGGCTTCACAAGAAGTGGGTCAGGCAGGGAAAGAACACAACAGAGCAGCCAAGGCATGGCAGTTAGGGGGACTGCCATCAAGAAAATAAAAATAAAAAATAAGAAAGAGAGAGGATAGACTTTGGGATATGATAGAAAGAGACCAGATCTGGACTCTCCTGTGATCAGCATGGGAAAGCAAGAAAGAGTATCTGAAATCAGAAATCAAACGAGGAATGCAGAGAGGATTCACAGTGCAACATCTGCCTGATCTCAGTGCACCTTTCTGTGGCGTTTCCAGGGAAGTGCTGGGATGTGCTGTAACAACAGATCGTTCGCTACAGAAAGGCAAGTGAACTGTTTGGCACAACACCTTCATGTGGAGGGGATCAGATGTCCCTCATGGACAAGGCTAGAGAGGAAACAGTGGGCAAAGGGTGTTGTGTGTTCACGTGTGTGTGCACAGACAGATGGATAGGTGTGTATATGCACATCTGTTTCTATATATGATGTTTACAGATGTTATATTTGAAGGCAGTGAAGCTATTGGAAGTCTGCAATCAGGTCAGCATGGTCAAGATTTCCTCACCTGGGTGACACATGAGAGTTTCCTTCTCTGGGGCAGCTCTGAAAGAGACCTCTGGAGAAATGAAACCTTTTATACTGATAACCACTTCTGAGAATAGATAATGAATGTCTGTTAGCATTTAGTGAGGGGGGGGGGAAAAGAAAGTGTTCTTGGGTCAGACTTGAAACCTTCATCACTTTTCTGCTCTTAGTGCTGTGCAGGGCTGAGGGAGCTCCACACAGACCCCAGGATGACACAAAAACACCATGCAGGTCTATTTGCTGAACAGACATTCTTAAAGAGAAAATTCATTTGTCAGCACTGAATGAAAATGAAATCTCCAGAGGCCACAGAACATAATAGGCAATATTTAGAAATTGAGAATGAAAATTAAAGCTGTCTTGTGGAAATTATTTCTGCGTGGCTTTAACGTATATCTTCATGAAATTTAATGTCACCTATAAGGGTATTCAGCGACTAGATTTTGTTATTATTTACAGCCCATTCTCTAAAGTACAACACATAATAGCTCCATACAGAATATGAGTATTTAACAGTAGTCAATGAATAAAACTGTCAGCTCGGCGTGCCTTACCAGCAGCGGTGTCTCTGCAGACTAATGGGACATCACGAGGTACGAAAACATTGAGCTTCATTATCCAAAAGGAGACCGTTTTGAAGACACCGAGTGATAAAATAAGAAGTACAGTGGTATAAATAACTCTGCTTAATAGTGCCATCATAAAACACACCACTCTAATTAGCACCACCTGCCAGTGCTGCCTGAGCAGCAGTGCTGTGCTGGGGCTGAGACCTGAGCAAGGACAGGAGTGAGTGAACTCCCCACTGCCCCGATGGGCCAGTTCCATGCCCACCACCCTGTGGGGCCAAGCCTTTCCCTAACCCCCAGCTGAACATCCCCTGAGTCATCTCCATGCCTTCGAAGCTCTCACCTACACAGCCAGAAGGACATCTGGAAAGAATAAACATGACATCAGATAGAAAATTCACAGCGCCACAGCTGGAATCATGGAAACCACCAAGTTTGGAAAAGACTTCCAGGATCCTCCAGTCCAATTGTCCACCTATCACCAATGTTTCCTGCTAAACCACATCCCTCAGTACAACATCTATATGTTTTTAACACCTCCAGGGACTGTGACTCCATCACCTCACTGGGCAGCCCATTCCAGCTCCTGACCACTCTTTCCTTTTTTTCCTAACATCCAACCTGAATCTCCCCTGGCACAACTTGAGGCCATTTGGATGCTTCAAGAACAAAAAAGCCAGCATCCAGCTAAACTTTAGGTGGAGGTGGCAGCTTCTCTTCCATAGCTAGCTGTACTTGATGCCATGGTTATTTTTTTATGGCGGATATCAGATTTGCCTTGAACTGTTCACACAAGCTCCCAATGGGCTCCATTTAACAGTACCTGGAAGAAACTTCCTCCTAAACATTATCCTCATGCTTCTGTGTTGAAAATGTATTCAAACTGGCCCCTGTGTTGCCCTCCTATCTAAAGTAAGAGGCTTCTCAGTACATTTATTTAACAGACGTGACACAGAAGAGCAAACAGTGAGCTACGTTCATCATCTATTCTCAGCAGTGCTTACCAGTATAATTGGCATCCTTCCTCCAGAGGTCTCTTTCAGAGGTGCCGTGGAGAAGGAAACCCTCATATGTTACCCAAGTGAGGAAATCCAGATTGTGCTGCCCTGATTGCAGAGTTCCAATAGCTTCACTGGCTTCAGGATAGAACACCTATGATTACATACACGACATCATCTATAGAACTCCAACTTCAAGCAACAGATCCCCAAACACAAAACTCAAATTTGAATTCTCTGTGCTTCCAAAATGAGGAGTGAAGACTAACTGTGGTATTTACACAGAAAGCTTATAAAAATTTTATACACATTCCTTCCTCCTCCCGTAGCCTCAGGTGGCACAGATGAACATTTTTCTTGAGAAAAGAGACCTCACCAGAGCTGCCATGGAGCGTGTAGTACCTTCCCTCTTTTGTTTTAAATTGTGTGGTTTACCCAGCAGGGAAGGAGGGGGTTTCAATCCATAGGCGTGTAATTGTTTTGCTTGCACATACTCTTATTTTGCAATTTCCAGATCCATTCAAGCATTCCAACTCTGTCTTACCAAGGATTTGCATTCAATGTGCAGAAAAATGTTCTCACGGCACTGAATAGTTGAGATTAATCAGATCATGATTTTGCTATGCCTACTGGCTCCTTTGAAATTAAATTACTATTATTTGCTCACTTGCTAACTAAAAGTAGGAAAACAGCTTTTTTGAAAACTGAAAGTTCACTGAAGGATGCCATTTGAAACTATTCAAAAACTGAACTTGAATTTACTAAAACCTCAGCAAAATTTGCTGTATACCTCCAGGTTCAAGAGGAGCAATGTGAGAGGGAGGACAAAGGATTGGTTCCTACCAACATGAAGGTAGGGACCAAACTGCCAATCTCAAATCCAACGATTTCATCATTTTTCTGCTTCCTCCAGGTGAAGAAAACCAAACACAGCTCCAGACTCTGCTAGTGGCGATTTCTGTTGTCTACTTTTCCACCTGTTCACAGCACTGTGCTGCCAGGAGGTGCAGGTGGAAGTGCTGCCATTTTCCATCCTCCCTGCAGGAAGCCTCCTCTGCTCGAAGTGTTGTGTTTTGCAGCATGTCCCTGCAGACAACCCAAAGCAATATGTCCAACTGGACACCCAGCAGAAATGACCTGATTCTTCAGTTATTAACTCAGGATCAGCGGGAGAGCCCAAGCATGCACAAGCTCACCAGGTGGTTTTGTTCAGTGGTTATGGTTATCTCCATCATGGGTGCAGGCAGAGGGTCTTGGACAAGCATCTGCAGCATCCAGTGAGCAGCTCTTGCTGCTGAAACACTGCAGGAAAGGATTTCTTTTTTGGCCAGCTTGCTGGATTCCACTTTTTTTAATAATTTAAAAAAAAAAACAAAAAACTATACATGAGCATCACTGGATACCCCATCCCTGCAGCATTCAAGGCCAGGCTGGATGTGGCTCTGGGCAGCCTGGTCTGCTGGTTGGTGACCCTGCACACAGCAGGGGGTTGGAACTGGATGAGCACTGTGCTCATTTTCAACCCAGACCATTCTATGATTCTACAATCAAGCTCTCTTCCATACTTACTGCATGTATTGCAACAGAGGGTGCTGTGCACATACACAAAACACCTCTCACAATCTTAGGCCTATTTTCACAAAGCAAATCTATTCAAAAAAAAAAAACAAAACATTAAGTGAACCCCAAAACTATCACACTTCACTGAAATTTTGCCCTTTGGGTCCTGATCTTGCAAAAGCCATATGCACACATATATTCTAACAGATGCAAACGTCTGCCTTAAGCAGCCCCTGATCCAAAGCTTGAGCAAACAGCAAACCCAGAGGGAGGGCAGAAGGTGAAAAATAAAGACATGAGTACCTGGTCCATGGAGGCATCCTAAAGAAAGTGCTACACAGGAAGTTAAAGTTCAGTGGGTCTAAACGAATGGGAGACTTCAGCTGACAGACTCAGAGCCCTGCAGAACTTCAGGCTTCACTCTATCAGCATTTCTTTGCTCTGTAGCTGGTTTCTAATGAAAAGCAATGCATGATTGGTGTGTGTAATCAGTCATGGTCACAGCAAGATGGTCCCATAGGTACATGAGGAGGAGAACATATGTATGAACAACTGATTAAAAACAGCCGCCGTAGTACCTCCACCTGAGGCTGCATGTAAGCAATTATCTCTTTAGTAAATAGCACTTGTTTTAAGCTGTATTTCTTCCCTAGCATTTTCATTTTGCTGTATATGTGCCAACCCATAAGTGATTAAAATGTAATGGTAGGTGCTCATTAATCCCAAAGAATGGGATACACATCATACAGTCTGGCATCACTTTAAGCACTAATTAAGGGAAAGACTGCTTTGAATGTACCATGTGTTTTTCTCCCTGGCACCTTCCTTGAAAACTATTCGGCTGCTTTCACCCGGTGCTCGTGTTGAGCATTTCACAGCCACGGGGCCAGGCGTTGCTGATGCAAATGGATGCATCACCCACGGAGCTTTGCCAGCACACACCAGTGGAGGATACAGCTTTTTGCCTTTTCTCTGACTGGCATCCAGGAGAAGTTGTCACTCATCCACTGGGGCCATAAGAGAGGGATGGTACTATTATTTTTTTTTTTTAACTCCAGAGAAAGGAAATTTAATGATTTGTTGGAATAGCCATTCCAGCTGGTGAAAGTTCACATCACATATTTATGCCTGGAAGGGTGACAGCAGAGAAGCTGCAGTGTCTGCCTTTCTTGCACTCCTCACACCAGCCAGAAGTAAACAACTGCATTTAAAACTTAAGATATTTAGAAGAAAATGTGATGCCCCTTAATGAGGTTTAACTTTTATATCAGTGCGTCTGTCATCCAGATTTTTTATCTGTATACACAAATAGCACCACAAAAGTGCTATCAGCCACATACGTGGAGTCAGAACTCTTCAAGGCTACTTGTGAAGCTGGACTTTCCACCAGTGCTTCTATTAATTCCTCGATTCCAGCCAGCTTATACAGGACAGCCGCCTGACCCCTGTGTCTGTATCCCAATAAAACCATCTCCTGCCCTCCAGGATTTAAAACCTCTTCCACTTCCACTGTGCCATTTGATATACAATCATTGTTTACTGTTTGCATTAAATCTCTTCCAGTGAGAGACAAAATAATGCCCTTCCAGGTATGGCTGTGATTACACCGCCTCTATCCACATTTGAAAGCCCTGCTCCCAGTTCCGTGACTGCAGCTCACCTCGATATTAGATTCCATAAATATCTTGTAGCTGCTGCACTCTGGATGCAGCAAGTACTGCTGGTAGCCCAAAAGGGCTGATGGGCTGCCCAGACTGGCTTCAAATGGTGGCCACGCAGAGGTCCTTAGGCTGCCTCGTTAGTAATTCACAGGTTATTACACTGCTAAATTATGGCGGCATCAAGTTTGCAGCAAAAGTGGAACCTTACGAAGACGATGATTGCGTCATAAAAATGATCAATGGAAATTAGTATTAGGGCATGAAAATTGCATCTCACAATGGCTCAAGTGGTTTAAATTCCATTTGGTTAACAGGCAATATCACATTGCTATAAATGCGTAATAGAAATGCATTTCCAGTTGGAGACCCTTATCGCCGAGGCTTTCAATCTTCGTGCCTCTCGCTTGACACTGAGCTGATAGGAAGAGTACAATCAGCAAGGTGGGGCTGGTGCTCTCCTGTGCTCCATCTGAGGTCGTTGCAGACAGCACAAGTGAAGCTTCAGACCTACCCTTTGCTGTTGCTTCTTTCTTGCATCTCCACATTGAACTGTTTCATCCCTGCAGAGGTTT